CCCTACGCCCACGCCCCAATCGAGTCGCTTTTGTTGTGGAACCCCCCCCTTCCCCCGCAACCAACCAACAAAACCAACCGTCGGTGGGAAAGGCCCTTTGGGGGACCCCTTTTGTCTAAGCCCTCAGCCTGTGCTTTGAGTCTGGGGGTGCGGAGTGGGGGACCAGCAGCCAGAGGTGCCCGGTGCCGGTTGCTCTGCGAGGGAGCGTGGATCCCGGCAGAGGGTGCTGTGTCTCCATCGCCTCTCCCAGCTCCGCTTCCAGCTGTTTGGCACTTGCCCGTGCCGGTCTGCATGATGTTTGTAAGAGTTTGGGCATGTCCATTTGGTTCCCATCTCCAGTGCCACCCCCAGCATCCCGGCCAGGTTCTTCTGTCACTGGGGACATTCTTAATTCACAGGAAATCGGAGAGAGTTTAATTGTTTTCTCCTCTCTCTCTTTTTTTTTTTCCCATGCAGCTGAACAAAAGGTTCATCCTCAGTTTTCTCCATGCCCATGGGAAGCTGTTTACCAGGATTGGGTAAGTGTGCAGGATGTTTATTTTATTTTCCTACATTACAAGTCTTTTTGGAATTTAATATTGTTAGCAACTAAGCTGTGTTTGGAGCTGAGGGCACAGGGTGTGAATTCTTGCAGCCCTAGCCTCCTGGTTCTTATTCTCCTTACCCGCCCTCCGATCCGCACTGCTTATTGTTTGGGCTTTTGCTTCCCCCACCTTAAGGCCCGATCCTGCCCCTGCACTGGGACCCTCTGGCACAGGCTGAGCTCGGGTGGCTGATACACACACCAGAGGGACTGGAGGCTGTTTTCTCTCTCCCTTCACCTAACCGCATTCCAATCCCCTTGATTTCTGGTTTTGCCCCCCTCCCACTCCCCACACTCTTAGCTAGTGGAGAGGGGGCTCTGGGGGGTCTCGGTGGCCGCTGCCTGCGAGGAGCACAAAGCCACCAGGGCAGAACGGCAGCGTGTCGAGACGAGCCTTGCCCTTCGCCTCCCCGCCGCCGTTTGGTGAAAGCCTCGTCACCAAGAGCTGCCTTGGCTGTGGGAACGGGCTGGCGCAGAGTGCCCGGGGCGATGTCTGTCCAAAACTCGTTTCAGGTAGTGGAACAGCCAGCCCTGGAAGCACACAAGCTCGAATGAGGCCTGGGCTGAGGTCCCAGCCTGGGGGACACCTTCCTGACCCAGAGAGTGGGGCTCAGCCGTGCGGCTGTTGGGCTGTCCCTGGAGCTGTCCCCGTTGCGGGTGATGGGGCGGCTGTTGTAGAGGCCTCGCCTGGGTTCAGATGGTTTCTGGCAGCGGTGGTCGCTGCTTGAGCCTGCCAGTGCCTCGTGAGCAGACGTAGACTCATGAGCTGTCTTGGCTCCTTCAGTCTCTTGTGGAACTACTGGCTACAAGTGACAAGGATGAGAGACCCTTTCCAGGCCACTAGATAAGGTAGTGTGGATGCAAAGTGGCCTCTTCTTCCTGCTGTTGTTTTTTCGAGTTGGATGTACAGTTCCCTGCCTCTGGGCCTGTCCCCTTTCCCTCCTGGAGGAGGGAAGCACGGCAGTGCAGGACGCAGCGCTGGTTCTGCCGTGCAGCCTGAAACCTCAGCGCTTGCTCCATCCAGCACACTTTCTGGAGTGGCATGTGCTTGACTTTGGACCCTTTACAAAGCAGTGGGAAGTAGGAGCTGTGCTGGTCAGTTGTTTGGAGGTCCAAGTGTCCGAGGGCAAGCTCAACCTACTGGCTGCCAGTGCTGGTGATATCTCCCCAAGTCCCAAGGCACTGATGTCCGAGGGCAGCAGGCTGGCCAGCAGCAAAAAGGCAGAAGTGGATGTCCTCCTTCCTGCAGGAAAAGGGAAGGAAAGATCCCAGGAAAGGTTTGGTCACTGCGGCGTGGCTATGCCAGCGGGCAGAGCGTCCAGGGAGCTGGTGGTGCTCGGCTCTGTGGGGCTGTGCTGGCGGCCGAGCTCCGGTGGAACGTGCGCCAGCAGCGGGATGAGTGGGGATGGTGCAGAGCTTGCTTGCACATTTGGCTCCTGAAGACGCAGCGTTTGGGGCGGCTGCTTCCCGGGGCAGTCATTTAGAAAACCCAAGTGTGTTTAGTGGTAGAATATCCCCTGAAGTACTTAGAGGGGAACTAGAAAGTAATACCATGACACAGGAAGAGAAAACTGTCCAGCCCTGCTAAACAGCTTCCACCCTTGAAATAGGTCAAAGGTGAGGAACAGTTGAGTCCTCTTCGGGCAGGATCTTCAGTGATTTATCTCTAAAAAATATGGAAAAGATGCTGCTGCCCTAATTGGACTCTTTTGCTCCTAAAACCACAGGTAAGCAGTTTATTAAAAGCTTCCACTCAGCTTCTGACCTGCTGGTTCGGAGCTCAGTGGGGTTGCTGCATGCCGTTCCAGATGTGCTGCGGTATCAAAGCACAGCTGGCGGGGCTGAGGAAGCCCTCGCTCCTCCTTGTTGTTACTCCATGGCCGTAATCTTCGTCTCCTCACTGACAAGCCATCCTGCAAACGGCTGCTCCGTCCCCAGTGTCCTGGCCGCCCTACGAGGCTGGCGCTGCGTATGGTGGTCTCTCAGATTTCTCAGAATTAGGAAGTGTTTAGAAACCATCAGTTTGCCCTAATTAGCTGCGCCCCAAATCCAGGGAAGTTGCGTCTTTCAGGGGGGAGCGGTGCTTTTGTACCAGCGGAGCTGCGCCGTTGGCACAGCTATGGAGTACGAGGGGCCTGTTTGCTCCAGCCCGTGTTTGTGGGAAGGTAGGAGGGAGCGAAGCGCTCCAGCAAACTGTGTCCGGGGAGGGGGTGCCGCGGCTGCTAGGCAGAGCCGCTTGCCGAAAGGCACCGTGAAATATGGTTAAGAAAGCAGCCATTTCTGTCTTTAAAAATAGAGCCTATTACTGTCCTGAAAGTCTGTTGGGGAAGCCCAGCAGAATTGCCCATGTGGGTTACCAGAAGTGGCTTTGCTAATCCAGCCTGTAGCGTGCTGATATCGGGAGATCTGAATCTCTCAGGGGAAGATAGAGGAAACGGCTATGGAAGCCCTGAGGTCGCCTGCCCCGACTCCAGAGGCCTCGATCGCCGTGGATTTTGGCTCCTGTTTGGGCACGCTGGTACAGCGTCACCGATAACCCCAGGTGGACCCTTGCTGCGAGGCAGATACTCGTTCTTGCTGGTCCGGCTGTGGCTTGTTCTTGCATAGGAGCGAGAAGTAACACAGCAAGCTCAGCAGAAGAGGTGATGGGACAGGAGGACATCCCTCATCTTCCTGCCCTCCCCAATAGTTTCCAAGGTTTTTAGCAAGGGTTTCCAAGGGTTTAAATTCAAAGTGGGGAGGTTTAGGTTGGATATCAGGAAGAAACTTTTCCCAGAGAGGGTGGGGAGGCACTGGGACAGGTTGCCCAGAGAAGCTGTGAATGCCCCATCCCTGGAAATGTCCAAGGCCAGGCTGGATGAGGCTTGGAGCAACCTGGTCTAGTGGAAGGTGTCCCTGCCCATGGCGGGGGGTGGGGCTGGGTGGTCTTTAAGGTCCCTCCCAACCCAAACCATTCTATAATTCAGATTTCTGTGACTTGACTGCAGTCAGTCCCATGCTTAACCCCACTTCAGCTGGGAGGTTGCAGAGAATCCAGCAGCTCTCCTGAGTAACCTCAGCTAATTCCCTTAGCGATGCCAGATGAAGAGCCAGATCAACGTGTCAGATTTCCGTGGGCGCTTGTGAGCGGTGTTGAAAGCGCGCCCCATCCCCGGCCGTGGCACTGCAGCCGCCGGCTGCCGTATCCTGATGAGCGACAGCAGCGCTGCAGGGACCAGCTCCAGCTTTGACGTTTCCAGCAGCTAGACGAGGCTGCAAGTCCCAGCCCTGTGGGGCTCCAAGTGATGAAGTTTAGGGGCTCAATCGCAGCATGTGGGAGCGTGTAGCCTGGGGGAACGGGGCTCAGTGCCATGGGGTCCGATCCCGCGGCGCAGAGCCCAGGGACAGGCACCGTTCTGGAGGAAGCACGGTCTGGCCAACGTTCAACGCACTGGAGTTGCCACATCCGCAATGTGGCACCAGTGTGTGCCGTTTGCTGCAGCCCGGGTTTCTTGGGAGTCCCATGGGCTGCTCCGGGTCCAAGTGAGCTGCTGGCTTCTTGGCGCTCCTCCCAGATTGGTAGAAGTCAGTAGAAAAAAATGGTTGGTCAAAAATGACTCATAAAGGCCGTGTTTTCCTGCCAAAGGAATGCTGCCTGTCGGTCACAGAGCAATCCCTCACTACCCTCTCGAAGGAAGGCTTCAGCTGCCTCTGGCATAGCCTACCCCTTCCTTCCCCACGGCTCCTGGGTGGGAGACTGCACCCCTGGGTCTCCCCTTCCCCAGGAGCTGTGCCGCCTGCCCACCCTGCGCCCTGGGGTGTCGCCTTCGCACTACAGACTCTCTCTCTCTCTGCAGGATGGAGACTTTCCCTGCGGTGGCCGAGGAAGTGCTGAGGGAGTTCCAGGTCCTGCTGCAGCACAGCCCCCCTCCCATCGGAAGCACCCGCATGCTCCAGCTCGTGGCCATCAACATGTTTGCAGTGTACAACTCCCAGCCCAAAGGTACCACGTGCTGCGTCAGGGAAGCCGGGCTGGGGATCCGTGTGGCCGAGGTGCTCGTGGAGAAGTGGGGGAGGACGGGGCTTGCTAGCTGAAGACGGATAGGGAAGCGGAGCGGTAGTTGGATGCCTGAGGCTGTCGGTATGCGTGGGGACAGCGAAGGGGCTTGGCTGGGCCTCTGGAGCTGGCTGAGGAGTGAGGTGGCATTGCATCTCCCCGGAGCCTGAGTCATCCAGCACAGCAGGAAGGCTCTGCCTTTCCCCGCCTTTAGCGTGGCCCCTGCTCAGTGCCCACGCTGGCACCAGAAGGCCTGGGAGGGTCTTGGAGGGCCTTGGCTGCTGGGAGAGTGGCATTGCCTGCGACCGCTCATGCCCGTGCAGGCGGCCAGGCTGGAGGCTATTCTCCATGTTAAGCACCTCGAGATCCAATATTCCTCCTCCATCCGCCCTGGAGGCTGATGCAGTCTCTGCCATTGTGAGGTTTGATCTGTTGGTCAGCAGAGATGCCACCAAACCACAATCTCTTCCACTGGGTTTGAAGTCGTGCTTCCAGGGGAGGTGTTTTTCCCCGTGGCCCCTGACACGTGCAGCGGCCCGTCTGCCTGAGCTGCCTGGCTGGGAGCAGGGACAGGGCTGCAGGGTTGGAGGAAGCAGTGTTTCACATTCCAATGGCTTGGGATTTAGATCCCAAGGATGGAGGCCTCCAGCTGATGGATTTTGGTCACAGCCACCATTTGGGCGATGAGGCTGAGCCCCAGAGAGCTGCTGCCGGGAGCTTTCTCCCTCCTGAGCCAGTTGGCCACTGGTCAGGCTGGTGGTTAGTGGCCGAGGTCGGCTGATGGAGCGAACAGGCCTTGGCCGGAGGGCTGGGAAGCAACTCTCGTGCGCTGTGCCGGCGGCTCGCAGGCACACCCC